ATCTATGCAGAAATAGAAGTACAATGATGTACACCTGAAATTTTTACAATGTTATAAACCAATGTTACTGCAATAAACAAAAAATTAAAAAAAAAAATAAATAAATAAATAAATAAATAAATAAAAAGATTCTCCCCTTGTCTTTAACTTTTGACATTTTAATTATAATGTGGGGCTCTTTGGGTTCATCTTATTTGGAACTCCCTGGGCTTTCCAGGTCTGTATGTCTGTTTCTTTCCCTAGGCTAGGGAAGTTTTCAGCCATTATTTCTTCAAGTAAGTTTTCTGCCCTTTTCTCTCTCTCTTCTCCTGGGACTCCTATAATGTGAATGTTAGTCTGCTTGATGTTGTTTCCCTAAGTCCCTTAAGCTATCTTCACCTTTTTTCATTCTTTTCTCTTTATGCTGCTCTGATTGAGTGAGTTCCTCTGCCCTGTCTTCGAGTTCACGGATCCTTTCTTCCGCTTCATCTAGTCTGCTGTTGAACCCCTCTAGTGTATTTTTCAGTTCAGTTATTGTATTCTTCAGCTCTATGACTTCTGTTTGGTACTTTCTTATATTTTCTATCACTTTTTTGAAGTTCTCACTGTGTTTATCCATTCTTCTCCTGAGTTCAGTGAGCATCTTAATGACCATTACTTTGAACTCTTTATCAGATTAATTACTTATCTCCTGTTCATTAAGGTTTTTTCTGAGATTTTATCTTTTACTATTTTGAACATATTCCTCTGTTCATTTTGCTTGATTCTCTGTGTTGCTTTCTATGTATTAGATGAAACAGCCACCTCTCCCAGTTTGGAAGGGTTGGCCTTGTGTAGTAGATGAATCTTATCATTCAACACTGCCCTAGCTCTTGGTTTTCTCTCAAACCTTTGTGATTGTCCAAGTAGCCTATTTAATTTTTTTTTTTTTTTTGCTGAGGAAGTTTCACCCTGAGCTAACATCTGTTGCCAATCTTCCACTTTTTGCTTGAGGAAGATTCGCCCTGAGCTAATACCTGTGCCAATCATCCTCTACTTCGTATGTGGGTAAGCGCCGCAGCACAGCTGCCAGCAAGTGGTGGAGATCTGCACCTGGGAACTGAACTGAACCTGGGCTGCCAAAGCAAAGTGTGCTAAACTTAACCACTAGGCCACGGGGCCAGCCCCATAGCCTATTTAATTTTTAACAGCTCCCAGTAGTTGAGGGTGTGCCAAGACCTGTCAGTGTCCCAAAGGGGAGGAGCTCAGTCAGCTCCTAGATTCAGGCTGATTGGAAGCCAGATCCCCAGGCAGCAGCTTTTAAAGTATGCAAATATATGCAGTCCTAGGGGACCGCAAGAGTAAGCCCCACTGGCCACCAGCGCCAGGCAATCTGGGGGTGTCCCCCAGGTAGCAGTCGCAAACATCAGGGCTCCAGACAAGTGTATAAGCTCCTTTCTGGGAGATACCAGTGAGCTGCAGAGAGGCAGAAGGAGAGCACTTAGATGGCATCCCCCAGCCTACGTTCCCTGACAGCACATCCATAGCCCCTAGATATGTGCCAAACCTGAAGTCTGCTCCTCAGGCCAAAGCTCTAGGACAAGCAAATAGGCCTCTTTCACAGAAAGATTCAGGGTGTGCTTCAGTCTGCAGGGCCCTGGGGGTGGTTGCCTGCCAAGAACTGCCTCTCTAATTGTACAGTCCTGTGGGGCCCTGGAATGCAAGCCCCCCTGGCCACCAGAGCCAGGTGATCCACAAGTATCCCTTGCATGGCAGCCACGAAAATCAGGGTACCAGACATAAAACTGTGGCACCCAGACACGTATAAGAGCTCCCCTCTGAGAGATGCTGGCACTCTGGCGCACGGAAGAGGGAGAGCACAAAGATAGTGCCAGCCATCTGAGGTCTCAGGAAAGGTTTACAGTCAGCCCTTAGATATGTTAAATTGGAAGCCTACCCCTCAGGCTGCAGTGCTGTGGGACCACAAGTGTAAGCCCCACTGGCCACCAGAGCCAGGTGAAGTTAAGCTTATAGGCCTCTTTCATAGAAAGACTGAGCTCCTGGGTCTGTAACGTCCTGCTGTGCCCTGGGGGTGGTAGCTGTTTAAGAATTCTTTCTCCATTGATTACAATCTTGTGGGACCTGCGAGCATAAGCCCCAGTGGCCACCAGAGCCAGGTGATGCAGATGTGTCCCCTGGCAGCAGCACAAAAATCAGGGCACCAGACAAAGGTGTAAGCTCCCTTCTGGAAGATAGTGGCGAAGCGGCTTAATCCTTGAAACTGATAAATGTATTACAAGTATATTCCAAGCTGACCAACCGAATCAATGCCACAAAGAAAGTTTTTGGACTTAAGAATGTTCTTAAGGAATTTATTTACTCACTTACTTACAAACTCACTGTAAGAACTGGCACCATCTCAAATAGTATTTGAGATCCAGTAATCTCATCTTATTTTTGCTACTGTTCCTACTGGAGGTGTTAAAGTCCCAACCACGATGGCTACCCATGTACAAAACACTCAACACCTTGACTGGTTCAGCAAACACTGTTCTGATATGTGAGAATCCCTATCAAGGGCATCGGTGAATAGGCAGTCAACACAGGCAAACCCCAACCCAGTCACACTTCACTTATCAGGAAGTTAGTTATCTGGTGACATCAAGTCTCCACAGAACCCAGTGGGAATTAAGCAGAGGAGTTTAGGAGCTGTCAAAATACATGTTGAAGTCCGTGTACTGCAGTACATGCACTTTATGTAGAGAAGAGGCTGCGAGGTCTTTACTCAAACACTAGTTGTTCTTATTCTAAACACAACAAATCTGGTGACCAATTTCCCAGGCATCAGCGTATTAGGAGAAGAGAATTAAGAGGTCTAAGCAAGCTAAAAAAAAGCAGACACAGGCACAACAGCAAGAAAAGAAAGATGACACCCAAAGGTAAGACACTAAAACTACAGAACTGGGGGGTACATGGTTAAGGAGCAATACTTCTATATATTTGAATTATGATAAAATACAGAAATTAATGTTTATAATTATGACCCTGGGTCATCAAAAACAAAGATTAAAGAAAACAGGTTAAACTACTTTAGGTCTAACAAGGGTCAAAGAAAGTAGATGACAGAGTTTATAAAAAGAAACAAAGAAATAAAAATTAAGTATTACATGTATAAAGAGTCAACTTTCTACTATTTACGGAATAAACTTTTTTGAAATAGATCATCCCCAAATAACACCTAGACTAGCATGTTAACCCTAAGTTACTAATCACTGCCAGACATTAACCAGTTCTGTGACTATCGGTAACTCACGGCCTTCTTTTATCAGACAGCTAGTTGTTAAACATTTCCTCACAGATCACTGATCTGAGAAAATGTGTATTTCTGTTAAGTTTGTCAGGTCCTATTCAGATTCAAGTAGAATGAGCTCACGTCTCCTACTTGGGTGAGCCCAGTTTTCAACTGGACCTTTGGATATCCAGAGCTCTCAGGAGAGAGGCAACCCGTTCTCATAACTGCTCTCTTCAGTCTAGAATAGACTCTTTCCCTATTCATTTCTACAATGTGACTCATTTTTAAACACCACAAACTTCTTAATCACTGTAATCTATCCTACCTAAGACACCACTGATTACTAGATTCACTGTTATTTTATGTACTATTAAGAAGAAAACACATTGCCAATTAAATTGATACACCATCAATTGTAAGATGCATCCTGATACCAGAAATATTAAAATCTATAAAGTGTACACTTTAAAAATTGATGGAAAAAAATCATTTCCATCATGTTTACTATTGTTTTCAATCTCGGAATCTTAGTTCAACATCTCCTTTCACTCTTGATATTCTGCTCCTAAATCTCCCACCTTCGTGGTTTCCCCAGTGCATATTTATATTCATAAATATCTTTATCTGCACAGCCTATAAATAGAATGAACTCTGTTTATATGAAATCATATAAGAAAAATAATAATCCTGAGAATAGATGTAAAATAATAAGGAAAGAAAATAATACAGCATCAGCATTTGGTGGAGTTAGAGAAAGGAGCAGGAAGAAGCAGAAATGGTAAATGAGGGGCAAAAAAGGGTACAGGTAAAGTGGCCTGAACAGCATGTATTACTAAAAAGCTAGCTTTTACGTTCTAGTGTGGAATGGCTTATCATCAGGATGAACATGCACACCTTCCCCAAAACTGCTCTTACTGCTTTGAGAAGACACGAATCTGGCCTAACTTGACTAACAAAGTATCTTTTAAGCACTTCAGATTTTTCTTCTAATAGCATTATCAAAAGAAATAGTATATTTTCTGCCTTTTCAAAAGTCACCTAAGCGCAAAAATACTTGTGAGGTATCTCAACTTTTATGAACATTCTTAAAGCACTCGGAAATGATTCTACTTACTCTCCATCCACTTCTGGTCTTCTACATACACAATGAAACTTGCCGCCAAAATCTATATAAAGATCATTCTCCACAATATGAAAGATTCGTCCAATGACCAGTTTATCCTTGGCAGGTCCCATCTGTGTAAGAGGAGAATGTCTCAGCATAGATGCAAAGGATTCCACATTTTTCGGAGAGCCCTAAATGTGAAAAGAGATATTTATATGCATATAATTCAATATAAGGGTTTAATACGGTAGGTATAATAAAATCTTACAGGGGAAATTTTAAAAAGTCAGTTTGCTCTACATTTACATTGTATAGCAATAATAAAAAAAAATTTAAGGGGCCAGCCCAGTGGCATAGAGGTTAGGTTCGCATGCTCCACTTTAGCAGCCCAAGGTTCACAGGTTCGGATCCCGGGCACAGACCTGCACACCACTCATCAAGCCATGCTGTGGCAGCGTCCCATATACAAAGTAGAAGAAGACTGGCAAGATGTTAGCTCAGGGCCAATCTTGCTCACCAAAAAAAAAAAGGAGATGAAAAAATTTAAGTGGAATTTTGCTTTAAAAAGCCAGGTGTGCTCTTCAATTTCCTCTTCCTCCCTTTCCTTCTTGAAGAGCAGCCAGATAAAAGCAGGCGTCTGCACTTGGTGGGGGATGGTGCAGATATGGTGGCCCAGAGTGGAATCTGGAAGCCAAGCAGGGAAAGGAGGGTGTCCTAGACAAGCTTCCCAGCACGGCCGAGGGAGAGCTGGCGGGGTGTCAGGGTCAGAGCAAGAGAGGAGGGCATCCGAGGAGACTGACTCTACTGCTAGCGCTGACCTTCAGGCCCAGCACCAACCATCTGCAAAAAGTGCCTTCCGATTCAGGTTTAGTGCGAGTGACTATTCTTTTAATACAAACTTAAACACGTGTTAGGATAAAAATGACTGAGGGTCCTTCAGTGAGCACTCTGAACATGAGTTCTTGTTATGTAATATTTTTATCTTCTTTTAGAATTTTTTTTTGTAATATTTTTAAATGGCTTGACTTTGTTGTGATTTTCTTCTTTTTCCTAAAGTAAAATTTCAAAGGAAAAATAGCTTCTTTAATTGTTTTGTGCTGCTCATTTTATAGGAGTCTTTTCACATACTGAATTTACTTGAGGTATGACTGAAGGTATAACGCAGGCTGATTACTTCTTTTTTTTTAACTTACAAAATTTCTTTCCAAACGTGCTTTTTCAGGATTCCATGAGAACAGATTTGTGCCTTCTACTCATCTTTAATTTGTGTGTGGTGTGTGCACGTTTTGGCTCAAACCGGAAATACTAAGTTTCTGTTTGTGAGAGCTAATCACAGAGGCACATTAACAATTTGATCTGACTACCTACATCCTGTATTTGGAATGAGTTTTACATTTGTTATTCAAAGGAGAATTATTAAGAGTTTGATAGTATACTTTAAAAACTACAAAACCATATTTATGACTTAGTTTTAATCATGTGGTACTCCAAGAATTACAAACTCAAATGCCAGGCCAGGTGGGGGTTGGTGCGTAGAAGCATATATGCCAGTGGAAAAGACACAGCCACCACTCAGCTCCAGCTGAACCTATAATTCAAGTCCAGTGTTTCCACATCTTTTGATTTTCCAAGAAAAACCAGAAATCCATATACTAATGTAAAATTTCCAATTTTTAAATGTTTATATGTTGAAAAAAAGTCTTTCATTTTATAAATCTGGCAAAACATATTTTGGCCCACGGACCAAAAAGTTCATGACTTTTGCCTCAAGAAAAAAGGTCAAAACACTTAGCTGATGCCAAGCCCCTTAGAGGCTGGAAGGAGATACGGTGATGGATTTGTTTCCATGGGTTCACACACGTTGGGAAGGAATACTTCGCACATAAGGGTCGATCTAAACCAAAGACAAGTTAGTAGACCTAGATGCCAGATAGAGCTGAAAAGGTCGCCAGGAATATTGTACTTTAACCATAATACTAATTTTATAACTCCACACAGTATAATATTAAAGGTCTTGAAACAAGGACCTTCAAAAAAATAGTTCTTTCTTGCAGAGAGCCAAGAAAGAACTCAGGCTACAGGCTCAACACAGACACAGCTATGAACTGCCCTCTACAGGTAACACAAAGAAAGGAACACTAAGCTGTCAGCGACAGGAGCAGCTACTAGGATCCTTAGCTGGAAGCCACTATGCCATCCACACCAGCTGCCACCAGAGGAGCAGGAAGAGCACTGCTCAAGGGAAGAAGCGATTCTTAGCTCGGGGGTCTCGTCTGCTTGCAACCAGGGAGGGTCCTTCCCACTTTTCGCTATGACCTGCTTTCCCATTACCCCACCATCTGTGGCTGATATCTACTCTTCCACCCTGCTTTTTTTTTCTTTTTTGGGGCAGACTTTCAATTGAAGCCATCATCTCATTAAAAAAGCATTAGATGAGAGGAAGATCCAGTAGTCAATCTAACAGTTGAGCATTTATCGAAGACAATTCAGCCATCACTAGGGCCTGCTGTTAAAATAACATACTCTCCTTTATAATTGTGAAGAGACATTTGAGCTAAGATTAATATGATAGCAAATGGTATTTCCCCCTAGGTTTTAGAAAATTATTGAGTGTGCTCGACTATTTAATAAAAGCACTTGAAATTTTCGGTAAATCTGTTGTGAAATATTTATTACATTGTAAACTTTATGAAATTATGAATAATTATTTTTTAAAGAGATTTTTAAATCAAGTAGAAACAGAACGCTATTGCTTTCTGTTCCATTATTTTTGCCTTCACTTTGTTACATTTTACAATGGAAGTCAATGTGTTTTCAGTGAGTGAAGTGATATTACCACAAGCATACGACCCCCAGATTAACACCTGATTTTGTTTTTAAATGGTACGCTTACTGTACTTTTTGGAAACTACATCAAATAATCAGACAAAGCCCTCCTTCAAATCATAGCCTAGAACCATCTCTGAATTCCTCATTTACTTGTCAAATTACTTCTAAAAATAATAAATGTAGTAACTCCCTCAATCCATATTGACAACCAACATTGTCAGCTCTTCTCATGCTGATGCAGACTGCAGAGACTGTAGGCACACTGTCACCTGCTGGTGTATCGTGGAGCTCAGTGCCTACCCCTGGTTATGGAAAACGTTGCTATAAAGCTCATTTATAGAGTTGTCATAGGTAGAGCAGGTACCCGGAAGGTGACTGCTTCCCTCAATAACTGGTCATAGAGCTCAGATTTCCTAACTATTCTGTTATTCTGCTGTACTGTTTTCTCCCTTTGAAGCCTGAAAGTTGAACCAGACTGTCGAGGTAGAATGGGAGAAGGTAAAGGGATTACAGATATAGGGACAGTCCCACTTTAACTCATTCATTCATCAAATGTGTGTTGAGTATTAAGTGCCTGTCACGTACCAGGCTCTGTTCTAGGCCTTGATATGAAAGTATGTGAAATGGTAGAGAAATAGAGAGTTAAACCAACATGACAACAGAGATTAGGGTCCAAAAAATTGCTGAAAACACTTGCTACCCTCACTTAGGTTGTAAAGAGTCTTATACCATAGGCTACATGGGTTAGACATTATCCTATAAACAGTGGAGAATCAAGAGGCTTCTCAATAATAGGGTGATGGTACTTGTTCTTTGTTTTAAAAAGAAAACTTTGGCAGCAGTAAGCAAGATGGACCAGAGAGAGGAAAAGAAATGGAGAGAGGGCAAACTGTTGAGAAGTTCCTCCAATTAGCTAGGACAGAGATGACAGAGGGCCTACACTGAAGCAGCAGCCATAGGAATGAATATAGAAGAATGAATGGAGAGCTATTTACCAAATAGTACAGCAAAGACTTGATCATCAGTTGACTGTAGAAAGTAAGGGAAGAAGGGAGCCAGGGATGAGGCTGAAGAGCAGTGTTAGAAGAGAGTAAGTTAGTTTTGCACATACGAGGTTTGTGATACCCATAAAACTTCAGAGAACACAGGCTATCTGGTAGGTAGTTAAAAAAAACAGTGCACATATTTATATACAGTTACATAAATTTACACATTTACCAAGATAGTATATGGAGATATAAATCCCTCAAAAGAAATATATCAAATGCTAACCTTAGTAATTTCTGTATAGAACTATTTTTTCTTTATATTATTTACTATAGAAAATCTAGAACATAAAGAATATGTATTACTTTAAATTTTTTAAATATATATTAAGCATATATACATATACTATACCAATCATGCATATGAGGACATTTAGAATATAGTTTGGAATCCTACCCAGCTTCCTCTTTTAATGCAAACAATAACAACAAAAATAATGAAATGATATATGTATTTTATATTAGTTAGCAAAAAAAACTTCGACATGCATCTTCTCTGACATAATTATAAAATGACTCCCTTCTATTAACCGTGCTGCAACAACTTCTGTTTCCTCAACCCTAACCAACAAGTTATGCTCATAACAATGTTCTTTTACGAAAATAAATGGATTAGTGGTTCAAGATGGCAGAGTAAGTACTTACATTTATCTCTCTCCCTCCTGAAATCCCATTAAATGATGGTAAAAGACTGAATGAAAAAATTGCAAACCCTCAATATTGAAGAGAATAGCATGGAGACAAAAAGCAGACGAGATTTCAACAGCTTTCTAGTGGACAGAAAGTATAGAGAAGAGTGGTAATTAATGAAGCAGAATGAAGGAAACTGTAGCTAATAACACATGCAGAAGGATGACGCTGTGAAAATAAGTCACTCTATTCTCAAGAATCCATAAAGGTGTGGGACTCAGTCATACAGGAATAAAAGAAAGCTGGGACAAGAAGAGAGGCTGAAAACAACAGGAATAATTAAAAGAATATATGCAGAGCAGTTAATTTTCTGTCAAGCACAAAATACCTGGCAGTGAGGCCAAGGGCACAACACCTAGTAATAAGGCATGTGTTGCCCTGGCAAATTATATACAATATAACTTTTTTCTCTTCTCTAAAAAAAAATTTTTTTTGAATACGTTGTCTAGAGAAGAATTAAAGTTTGGGATGGCTTGTTATGCAGCAACAGGTAACTTACACAAGCAGTAGAGACTCAAAATGACAGCTGTTCAGCAAGACAGGGTGGGTCTGGAGTAGGAGGCTCCTACAGGATGCTCTGAAGTCTGACCGCATGGCTCTACCACTTACAGTTCTGGGGCGGGGGC